ACACCGACTAAGGGGCAGCACCGGACTAAGGGGGGGTACCCCACAAGGGGAGCCCCCGGATAAGGGGGGAGCACCCGGGGGTAAGGGCCCGACCCGGGCTCATGGGCGGGGTCCTGGCTGCTGGCTCTGGGGGTCCGGCTGGAAGGCTTGGCGGGTCTGGCTGGGGCGGTCTGGTGGCCTGAAGGGCTGGCTGCCATGGTGGCGAGGATCGGCTTCTCATGGGTGGCCGAGGTTGGCTGCTCAGGGGCCGACGGTCTGGCTGCTCAGGTGGGGACGGATCGGTTCCTGGGGGAAGGTTGGTGCTCAGCGGCTGACGGATTGGGTGTCATGGCTGGGGAGGATCGGCTGTTGGGTGGTGACGGAAATTGGGGTGTCATGCTGGCTGCAGATTGGCTGCTCATGGCCCGGCTACGGATCTGGTGCTCATGGCTGGCGGAAAGGGTTGCGATCCGTCTGGAGGAAGGCCTGGCTGATCCTGTCTGGGAAGGCCGGGATCCGTCTGGGGGAAGCTCTAGGGCCCGGGCTGGCGGAGGCTCTGAAAGGGTCATGGCAGCGGGCGGCTTGCAGGGTCAGCCCGCGGGCCCTTTTAAAAGCCCTTAGGGGGAGACGGGGAGTTCAGGCCCCGTTGGCAGAGGCAGACTTGGCGTTGAGGCGCAGTAGGCCCGGGGCGGGTGCCGGAACTGGGGGGGTACCGGTTTAGGGAACGCATCTCAGGCGTGGGGGGGGGGAGAAGCAACAGGGTATGCGGACCTGGGAACGCACATAAAACCTAGTCGGAGAGCCCCAACGGGCATGCTGGACCCTGGGGACTCACATAAGGGTAGTGCGGGGGGGGAAGGAAAAGGGGATGCTGGACCCTGGGGACCCAAAGGCCTTTTCGGAGGGACCCGGGAAAAGGGGAGCTTGGGCCCTGGGGACTCACATAAGGCCCAGTGCGGGGGGCCGAACGGGCACGGACCCCGGGGACTACAAACGCCTTGCGGGAGAGCCCGGGAAAAGGGGACGGGGGCCTGGGGGGCTCATAATGCCTATGCGGGGAGAAGGAAAAGGCATGTGGACCCGGGGACGACTAAGGGGTAGTCGGAGAGCAGCAAAAGGGCGCACAGGCTCGGGGAACAACAGGAGGTTTGGGGCGTGGTGTAGGCAGGTGGGATGGGGGTGGAGGGGGAGGGTTTTTTGGGGCCCCCGGACCCCCCGGACCGTGAGGCTTTTCTGGCCCCCCTTTAGCACGACCTGCCCAAACCTACCCGGGTTGGCTCCCCGTCGCCCCCCCCCCCATACGGGGAGGGGGAATAACCCCCACCGGCCTATGAGGGGGGAACCCGGGGAACACCATGCGTAAGGTGGTGCCCTGTACGCGGCCCGGAAGACGCAATGGGGCCTGATGCGTTGGCCCCTCTTCCCTCCCTTTTTTCTCCCCTTTCTTTTCCCCTTCCTCTCCCCTCCTCTCTTTTTTTTTCTCCCTTTTTCTCCCCCCCTTTTTTCCTCCTCTCCCCCCCCCCCTCCCTTCCCCCCCCCAAAAAATTTTTTTTTACCCCGGGGTCCAGCCGGGGCTCCGTGCTGCCTCCCTACCCCCCCCCTTTTCGTTAGGCCTCCGCTCTTCCAGGGGGCGATTTCTCCCTTTGTCCAAGGGGGCCCCCCTTTCCACCAGCCCCCCCAACCAGAATTTTGGGGTCCCAAACCTTTTCCGCTTGACCCTTCTTTTTTCCCTTTATGGTGGTTTTTTCGTCAGAGGCGATTTCTCCCTTTGCCCCAAAGGACCGTTTTCCCCCAAAAAAATGATTTTAAATCGTTGGAAAAAAAAACCCAAAAAGGGGGCGAAATGAATCCAAATGACAAGCGACCTTGCAAAAAACCCAAAAACCCCAATGGAAAAACAACAAAAAATGGTCCCCAACAGAAAAATAAAGACCCCACTGACATCGTTACCTCCGATTGGGATCATCGACCAAACCTGAAAACCAACAGAAAGGAAACCAAAAAAAACCCAAAATTCCCCTAACCAAACCAAAACCCAACAAAAAAAAAATCACCCTGTCAAAACAAAGTCCCGAGCCGAGGTCAAACCCCTTTTTAAATTTTTCCAAAGTTCTTCCATGTAAAAAACCTTCGATTAGAAAAATAAATCCAAAAAACCTTTTTTAATTTATGGTATCTTTTTCTAGAATTTTTTCATACAACCAAAAGGTAAGGGGCCCCAATTTTTTAAAGGCTGGATCTTTATATTTTTACTTTATCCTGTTTCATATTAAGAATCAACCTTTTTCTTGAGGTCGTAACTCCATTACAAGGAGTGGTTAAACTGCTATAAAAGGTTCCCCCTTGTATATCAAAAAAAATTTGGATACCCGACTGGTTGCCATCAACCCTGGAGTTTTTTCCCCAAATTAAAATCTTTAAATTTCACCCCGAAGTTCCCCCTCTGTAATTTTACCTACATTTGCTTTCTGTTGGCGTTAATTTTACATTTCAATGAAAAAAAAACTCTACAAATTTCTTTTAGTTAGAGGAGATGGAGGCGAGAAAAAAAAAAAATAGCTTAAAATATTTGTTTTTCCTTCAAATACATTTGTGAATTAAAGGGTTACTCGCAATTGTCCAGTTTCTTAGTTATTTTTTGGGAACCCCCAGTTGAAGATTAAAAAAAAATTTTGTGCATGTCCGTCGTCGAAAGAGGGGACCAAAAACCAGCGGTTGAGCGAACCGTAGCTTTATTTTAAATTAAAAAAAAAACCACGTAAAAACAAAAACCAAAAAGACGAAAGTGAAGTCCAAATCACACTGACAAAAAAAGGATCAAGGAAACAAAAACCCAAAAAACCCAGGGGGAAAACCCCACAGTATAAAAAATTTGGGTCCCAATAAGATGAGCCGACACTGCCTCGTTCCCCCCGGGGAGTCAATGACTAAAAAAGAACAATTAACCCAAACTAGAAATGCCAACGAAAACCCCCAAAATGAAAAACACCCAAAAAATGAAAAAAAAACCCTGGCT